ATTGGTCAGCTGCGCAACCTCAAGTCGCTCAACGTGTCCCTCAACAAGCTGCAGTCGCTGCCCGCTGAGCTACTGCCGCTCATTCGGACGTGCGGCCAGGGTGGGCGCCTTACCGAGCTGCTCGTCCACCCCAATCCGTACTTTTCGCCAGAAGAGGAGGTTGAGGACAACAATAAAAAAGACGCCGTGCCACGACCTGCCCGTCATGTGGGAGACCGTCCTACGCGCGTGGCCCGGTCACCCGTACACTACATGGACAGCTGGGGCAAGACGTGGTCGTCCTTTACCCTGGACCCGGCCGCGCTGGGCGCCTGCAACCTCATTCCGACCGAGGACATGGCCGTAAAATCCGTGCCACCGGTCGAGAGCACTGCTGTGGCCGCCGCCACGTCCTGTGTGCCGACGCTCGTCTCCCTTGCCATGGAAGCCTGTTACCGCACGCCTCAGCTGCCACAACTGCCCGACTTGCTGCCACCGGAAGCACCGCCGCGTCTGGCACGGCAACTCGGGAAAGCTCTCGCCGTGCGCGACAGTGGCGGGAGCACGTGTTCGGTGTGCTCGCACGGACAAGGTCAGCTTGCCACGCGACGCCCCATGGTGGCTCCCATGACGGCGTGGCTCGAGTGGTGGGAGTTTGGCAAGCCGGACGTGAACGTGACGTATACGCACACTGCAGCAGTCTCAGGGTCAACAGGAGCAGCAGCAGCAGCGTCAACAATAGGTGGTGGAGGAGCGGGAGGAGCTGATACACCACAACCAGCACGGCTCCAAGAAAATGAGATTGAAGTGCTGCCGTTCATGTGGCGTGGTTGTTCGTGGGGATGTGTGCCACGAGTCGAAGTGGTGGAAAAGGAAGAGGACGAGGAGGACGAGAGGTAGGAGGAAGGAGGAAGGAAAGTCAGCAAGGACGTCCCTTATATCTTGAGGACCGCCCCGAGGTATCTATTCGCATTCTCTATGTCAGCACGCTGTACATTCTTTGTTCTCTAGTTTCCCTATACATTCCTACAAATGTACATTCTATGGGGCCTCATGCTGTGCCCCTTGGCTTCGTGTTACTGTCTTACTTGTCATTATTGGCGGTCGTGCATGGATATGTCTGATCCAGTACTGTCGTGCGTGATACCGTCGTGTGATACGATCTCCCAGAATCTGGTTACGGTCACAGTGGTAACACATCCCTACCCCACAACAGGCCGTTTGGCAGGAAAAACCAATATTGTGCAGTTTCTGATTTTTATGCACAAGATTTTATTCGCTTCGGTCGTTGTGTCGCCCCGCGAAATGACCAGGGCAAGGAAGCTGCGACCATCATAATGACGAGGAGGATGTTGGAGTGCCAAAAAGTGTATCATGTTTACAATGTTCCCCTAGCCCGGATAGCCAATGGCCTATTTGTTGAGCCCTTTCTTTACGCCTTAAACCTGTGTACCACCTCCATCCTGCGGCAAAGAGAACGCCCCATTTTGCGATTGGGCACCGATGAATCCTGGCAGTCCTGGTGGGTGTTCCCTCATGTTACCATCGTCGTCTCGGGCGTTGGTGGCCTTGTTGACTTCCCCCATAAGGTACACATCATTCATCCCTTGTTTCCTGCCTCGCCTCATGTCCCATTTCTCATGGTGTCCTTCCTTTCTTTATGACTCACCTTTATGCGTCCTGGTCCAGATGCAATTCAAGGCCGACTTTGCTCCGTCTTGTCGTATCATATTTCTCAACCGAAAGCTGCCATCTCCTCCTCCACTCACGGTGAATCGGTGAATCATAGCACCGTCGCCCAATAAGACAATCTTGTTTGACAGGAGGCGCTCCTCTCCCGCATTCAATTCAACCAATGGCCTTCCACCAAAATAAGTTTGAACGCTGGCCAAAGGGCAATGATTGGCACATGCAGCCCGGCTCTACTCCATAGAGAAATGTTTGGCGAGACACAAGCCCGGTACGGCGGATCGCCACTCGTACAGTCGTGAGAGCGTGTGCCTGCTGTGGTAGACAAAACTCACACAGACTCTCAAACCACTCTTTGCCAAGTGCTGCCCACTGCTGCCTGCTGGCCCCAGGACGTCAGGCGTCAAATACAGCGAGGGCAAACCACATGGCCCTTGCTTGTTGCTCATATCCTCAATCTACGACATTGGTTCCTTCTTCAGCTTTGTACGGAGTAATTCAACATACCAAATACACTTTGGATGTACAACATACCCTATAAAACAAATTTGCTAGGGTATCATCGGGGCATATAACAGAGTAGTATTACTCGGTACTCTGTACTTAGATTGAAATATTATGTGGTACACATAAAGAATCACAAACAATAAGCAGTTACAGCCTTGCCAACTGCCACAGCGATTGAAGTTTGTAAATCCAGCCACTTCCTTTGGTTAATGGTTCCATGGTTGGGCAGCAACAGGCGCCTTCTGGTTCCCGGTATCCCGACCCTGCATGCCTTGATCCTTGTCTGTTTCAAATAGAGAGCATCTGTTTGCATGCCGGGTGCGAAAACCAGATCGGCCTGTTTTTCAGACAGCTCGTTGTTTTCTCCGCTAGGTAAGAGAGTACATTGAACACGCACCAATCGAGAATGATGGTCGGTCCCAGGAGCGGGGCTCCTCCTGGCCCTGTTTTCAGCATGTGGTTTTATTTTTGGCTGCCGCTTAAAATTAAATCAAAACGAGGGACCATCAAAATATGAAATACAAATTACAACAATAGGGCAATGAACAGAATGAGATCAAGAGGGAGAGAGGAAAGTGCTATTAGGGCAAATGCAGGTACAAGGACCACCACCATCCTGCCAGTTTTCTGCCAAACAGCTAATCAAATTCATGTCCGCATTTCCATCGTGCACAACCTTGACCAGTTCCCTCACCACTTCTTGCATGTCTCGCAGCATCCGGAATTGTGTGTTTTTATGCTTCAAGGACCAACCGGATGCGATTTCGCAGCTGCCAGCACATAAGGGCGCCTTGATCGACGGGCACTTGCAGGTTGAAGCAGATGAACGGGTGAGGCCAACTGTCTGCACAAAGCACTGCGCTTTGTTCCCGAATGAATCCTAAAGGGATTTTGTTCGTTGTTTTTTTTTTCGTCTTCTCGTACTTGTATGACCTGTCATAAACTTCCTTTTTTCTTTGTCTTGCACTGCTTCTCCTGTGGTTCATTGCTCTCTTTTCGTCCTTCTGCATGTTTGCACGTCGCATGGGACCGCTGGAAGAGAGGGGGTGTGGCAAGGGACCATGTCTGGGTAGCTTTTTGTGGTATACTCATGTACCTCCGAGCCTGCTGAGAATATTCGCAGACCCAGGGCACATGTACCTTGCACGTCCTAATCGTACGGTGTACGTTGAGGCAAGCCAATGCAAAGGGTATTTCGTACACGAGTATTTGCAGAATTTTCAAAGCTGAAGGAGCGAGCCGCTGAAGGGAGAATGAGAACCACTTGTGCCCCGTGGAAGCGAACAGAAGGCCATGGACCGGCATTGTTGACATTAGCAACGGGAAACCCAAACGTCAACGCAATCAAGACTGTTCGCTGATACCCCATACGTAGTACTTGCTTTGAACATGATATTTTGCAAGCTTTTGAAATCTGGAATGGTTTTACAGCCAGGTCGGCAATTCGTGTGATGCTCACCTTGTGCTTGTCTCATTTGCATTTTCTAATGGTCAATAACGCACGGGGTTCTGGAGGCAGTCGACAAGACAAGACACGTGCAGTTGCACAGCATGCCACAAACTAACCGTGTCAAGATTCCCCATGAAGACAGTCAAACTCTGCTGAAATAAACTATGGCCTAATCAATTTACCCCGAAAAAAACAGGCCACAGAAAACGCAGAACAGCATCGCAGAACATTTCTCCTTATCATCGATGCAAACCAAGGCTGGGTGAAAAGAAATAGCAATAAACAACACACAGACAGTAAGCTACAGGGCAAGAGTACAAGAAAATAGAAAGAGAATAACGAAAGAAAAACTCCTGGTGGCGAAATTCAAAAGGCGTGTGCGGACGGTCGCAGCATGCGGCCAGATTAAAAATAGGCTGGCCATCTCAGCTGGTCGTCCACATCGTCGCTAATTTTCTGGCCGGCTGTATCTCGTTTCATTTGACCATGTCCAATCTTCCATCTTACGGTCAATCATTTCTCGTTCTGTTGCTCATTATTCGTGAGATAAAGCACCTTGAAAGCTATTCAGAGCACTTCGGAGCAACAAATCAGGGAGGCAAAGGAGGACAGGGGCATGCAGTACATGTGTGTCCAAAAAGTGCCCAACTCCGAACAGTTCACGCGTAAATTATCCGTCATAACAATGAAGCGAATAGTAACGGAGTTGTAAAATGCGGTCACTGTGTTGGTGAGTTACGTTCGTTCCAGACCTCCATCTCATCAAAGCATCGCTCCTTCCTCGTGATTTTTGTGGACCCCTGCTCTTTCTCTTTCTATCCGACTACATTCATACACGCGGTTTGGGAGGTACGGCATATCAATGCCGGGCGTCATAGGAGAGTCGAAAGCCCTGATTCCTACGAAGTACTTCACAATCCCCTCGCTTGGTGAAAAGTCCCCTCTTTTGCTTTCAGCCACCCCCCACATCCAGCTGACAAAAACGCAGCTGGAGTTTTGCGAATTGCATGGGCAAAGGAGTCACGTCTGCTTCGATGTGTCCACAGCTCAGACAACGAGGGAAAGAGCTCGCGAAGGCGGTCTTCTGCCGTGCAATCCAGATCAAAGCTGTAAACACCTTTCCTGCCAACCCCCCTATTTTTTAAACCTCATAATACTATGTCCTCCGTTCCCCCCCATCCCAAAACAACGATTTGTGTCATCATCAAAGGTCCAGCCTTTTTGCGCGCCTGGGAGCCTAAGTCTAACTGCCAACCAGTCTGCAAAACAAACAATAAGCTGCGACGTGCGGCATGCGACATGTCCTTTCTCGCCACTCGACGCTCCCCTTGTTTTTGTTCCCTGCCCTCTTCGCTTGCACATTTGACGGGCAACAATGGGCAATGGCGGACAACAATGGGCAATGGCGGACAACAATGGGGCGGACCCATCCAGTTTTTGGTCTCCCGAGGGCCTTTCTTGCATCCATGGCAATCGTAGCCACAGCGACCTCACGTTGTATGCCAGGTACATTCGCTGCATGAGCACCAAACACCAGAACCCACATTCAAGAACGCGTATGCTGCACCATTGTGCTACGCTTCGCCTCACCTAACAAAGTAGTTCATTCACGTCTCCGCGCACTCGAGCACCGCCCCGGAACAGAAGTGTATTTGCGGAGCGCGGTGGTCCAACGCACCACAGGTCCCTTCGCAGTCGCTGAATATCCTCCAAAGCTTCCTCTGAAGCAGCCCGTCGAAAACCCCGGTGTTTTCAGTTTCCCGAACGTCTCTCCTTTTCCTTTCGTGACCGCCCACCTCGCCTGGTATCGAAGGACACGGTATGTCATAGAAGACCCGCCATGGCCTGGCCCAGTCGCAGCCGGGCCTTGTCAGTACCGTGCCTTGCACAGTCCCGCTAAGTGAAGATCATTTTGTAAAGCTCGTCTTTGCGTTGTTTGACCTGTTCCATCATCGTCGGGCTGCTCTCCTCATCCCTGCTTCTCTCCATCCCACATTGCAACCATGACAACCACTAGTTGACGCCTCCGAGTACAAAGCTGACCAGTTGCTTTCACCTGGTACATGCTAGCTCGAGTATCCAACCAACCAACCCGCCGATCCGTATTGTCTACCGTCCTCGGATGTACAACAACCTATCGTGAAGCTGATAGGACTTCTCTCTGTCACCGTCTTTTTGCCCGACATCCACCTCGATTGTATCCACTTGGACCCATAATCAGCCGCCATCTACGAAATAAAATGAAGCGTTAGGAAGACGGAAAGGGGTATCCTCAGGGCTGTACCTGCTAGTGGGGCGATGGGGTCCCCTGACTGTTTCCTTCTTGTGTCGTCGCTAGCCCTCCGTGCCAGCTCGCCTCGTTTTCTACCACAAATCGGTCCCGACTGAGGAGCTTTGGGAATATAAAAGGCCTCCTTCCTCTCGACTTTCCTCCGTCTTCTTTGTCGAAAGTGCGTCCCCGTTCTCACTTTTCCTTTCATCACTCCTCATCATCCATCACTCCTCATTATCCAGCATTAAAGTATCAAAGCGTCTTACAATCCAAATCACTTCGACATGGATAGCAGCAACGAAACATACCTACACGGCGTCGCCGGTACCTCCACTGGTCTTGCTTTTCAGGTACGTCTAAGTGTTTCCATCATTTTGTCTTCGCCACCCATGGCATATCACAGCCACGGATTGCTTCACATCGTCGATGGTAAGACGGTGGTGTCATCTCGACACCGCTATGGCCGGAATGGCACATCGACAAGAGCATGCCGCCGTGTCGCTTGACAATATGATGGTGGCGTCAGAGAAATGTTTTCTTCCCAACACCCTTCCATGAAAAATGAGTCGACCAACAGACATATGTCCCACGTGGGTCGTCAGTTGTACCCCCATTAGAGGCCGTCATCACTCAGTCATCTCGTGACAGCTTCAAAGAAGGCTGCTCAAACAACGCCAAAGACCTGGCAATGAAGACATGGGATATGGGCTAACTCCAACAAGAGCACAGAAGACACACAGAGACAGTATCATTTCGATACAATTTCGGAAGCCAGCACTTCAGTTGCGCTGTCAAGCGACTCTGGTTCATTCCACGACACGGCTCCTTCTTCGATTGAAGAGCAGAACGAACAGTATGAGCACCCGGTCATCTTGCATGAGGACCCGCGACTGGCCATTCAGCTCGACGATGCGACTTTGCAAATGCAGGAGCGGGAGGTCGACAACCAGCATAGTTTTCACCGCGATCCTCATCCGGGTTGTCTTCTCTGCTCCCGAAGTTTTCAATACGAGCCGTTCTATAGCGACAGGAAGTGAGTCTCAGGAACTTTCATTTTCGCTTTTCCTGAAATTGATAACTGTGAAATGGGTGGGCAAGATGGTAAAGCGAGGTAGTCGTCAACAGCAGTGTTGCACTTTGGAAAGGGGGGCGGGAGGGGCGAAAACAATAGAAAAACTGCGCAACCTGCCTTACTGTTCACCACTTGGCTTGATAACAAAGGCACGTTTTCTAGAATCACATCGGCTAACAACCATCTTCTTGCTCGTTTTGGTGTTGAATAGCGCATACAATGACACAGAGACTGTCTCCCCGGAAGATGCTGCTACAAATGAGCTTTTGAGAGCAGGGAAGATCCGGGAAGGTGAACGTGCTGCTACGATGGCCAGCGCGGAGCTTTCCCGAGAGTCATACTGGAAAGACCGATTTGAGCCTCAGGGCACCGACCGCAACCTTGACCATCACTCCTCTGGCCATCACTCCTCTGGCCGTCACTCCTCTGGCCATCACTCCTCTGGCCATCACTCCTCCGGCCATCACTCCTCTGGCCATCACTCCTCTGGCCGTCCCTCCTCTAGCCGTCCCTCCTCTAGCCGTCCCTCCTCTGGCCGTCACTCCTCTGGCCGTCACTCCTCTGGTCAGCAACCGTCCGGTCAGCGGCCATCCGGCCATCGGCCCGGTCGCAAGTCATCCGGCCACCGGCTCTCTGGCAATTAGTCGTCCGGCCATTGGCCTTCTAACAAATGATAATTGGGCCACACACCATCCGATGGTATAACTCTGATCAACCACTCGGCAGTTGTCCATCCTTCGCGAAGATCCGTAATTCGACCAGAGACCCACAATAGCCACCACCATGTTTCCGCTAAGCTCGGCTCGCGCCGAACTAGTGGCAACTAAAGACGACGGCACGTCACGATTTGTGGGGTGAAACACTACTCGTGCAGCACCCACCCAATGCAACGCCTCTGCAAAGGTGACGGATCGGCAGTGCCGCATGAAACGGCGAAGTGATGTTGGCATGTGTGCGAAGCTCTGGGAGGGTGACAAACAGAAGGATGACGGAACGACGACGGAACAACGAAATTTCAACTCACCACGGTCTAGCATCTTGCTGTGGCCACTCAAGTATTTTTTTGGCCCCTTTTTTCTTTATCTTTTTTCTTTTCTCCATCCCTTTCCCTTTCCTTTCCCCCTCGTCCCCTTCTCCTTGCCACTTGCCATCCCATGTAATATGGGACTCGCAGAAAAGACATCTCTCACTATTGGAAGGCATCAAGACACACGTTACGTGTGTCTTGATACCCATGACGCCAGGATCGTGTCGTCGACGCAGGGCTTGCGATAGCTCGCCGCAAATCTCCAAGCTAAGCCAAGAAAGAAGAGAAAATTTTCGTCAATCTTGGCGATAATTTCTAGAACGAAGGAAAGGGGTTTTGTGACCTGGAAGGCTTTTTACATTGATCATGTAAGAGCACCGTTTGAATCCCCTTCTCAAAAGAGGTTGAGAGGAACGATTCGGAACCGCGAGTGCATGGTTAGGGCCATGCACACAGCCGACAATTCAGCCGTCAAACCAACGGCCCCTTCTTCGGTCTTTTGCATCCCCCTTGTGTGTGCCTGTTTGTTTGTTTGTTTGTTTGCTTGTGTGTTTGTCTGTTTGTTTGTTCTTCATTTTCCTTATTTATAGTTCTCTCAATTAGCCCCCTGTTTCAGTTGTAATATTTCTCACCATGTCCTCCCCTATTCTCAGTCATAGCGACTGTATGCCCTTTGCCCCTCTCACCTCTTGTTTTGTGTTTAGTTTAGTTCTCGAATCACTCACAATTAATATTTCGTCGGTCAGCTTAATGTCCCATAAACATGATTTGATGTTTGCCGTGTGTAGGATTTCGAGACTTGTGTGGTTGATGCCCAAGCACCCAACCGAAGCGTCCGAGCACAAGTTGGTGAAGGTCCGGACATTCCTGCAGGATTAATGATCGGGTCGGCCAATGACGGGAGCACAAGAAAAGGGAAATATCCCAATTAGGCCGATACCGGTGAATAGGTAGATGTTTAGCAAGAAAAAAAAGAGAATAGGCAAAAAGAGAAAAAGAGAAAAAGAGAAAAAGAGAAAAATAGAAAGAAAGAAGAAAGAAGGAAGTAAGGTGGAAAAGGGACAAGAGGGTACGAAAAACAAAAAAGCAGTAGCAATGCTAAATGCCTAACGGTAACAAGCCCCGTCAGCACGACATGATCCTCCGTTGTCGTTAATTGTCAGCTCGGAGTCCTTGGATGGCCAGGTCACCGCCAATATCGTCGTATAAAAGAGTCGGCGCATGGTAGTTTGTATGTTTTGTCGAACTGTTTCCGCCGGCGACATGGCAAATCGCTTGTAGCCCAGTGTGGGTGTGATATTGGCGACCGATTAAGAAGAGATTCATGTGCTGTTGCGTTGTCTGTGGCTTGTTGCTTGTTGTCGGTTTCATTTCCACGGGAAGCTGCCAGCTGACTTTAAAAAAAAAATGAAAAAGAAAAAGAAAAACGAATGGAAATCATTTCCTTTCTGCTTTCCTCTATCCTGCCTCCCAGATTTCTCTTGACATTACTTGACAACACATCAATATTAGGAAACTGACTTTCTGCTGCAATGTCCATCGGGTAATGCACTGCGTTCGAGTTTGGAGCCACCCAAATGCGAGTCGCAGTGTGAGTTGTGCTACCCTGGTGTCACATTTGTGACAATTCCGGGTATGGGAAAGAACGGTGGGTGTTTAATGGTGATGCGACAATGAGGAAGGAGCAGGTGTTAATGGGGAAAGGAGCAACGGAAGGAAGGAGCAATGCAAGGGAGATAAACGGGAGAGCGGGAATAACGACAGCCAACAATGAGGTAGGATAATTGTAGGGCCTCTCTCAGGAGAAGAAGAAGAAGGAAAGCATCATGAGACGCGCTCTGCATTTGGATGACATCCGCAAGCAAAGACAAAGCCAGACGAAATACGACGTAAAAACAAGCGTCGAATTTGCCGCCTTCTGCTTGTACGTGAGCAGCGGGGCGACCCGCGCCGAAATATTGATGCCGACAAGAACTGAATGTGGTGCAATTCAACATGGTTTAAAAAAAAAAGACAGAAAGAAAGAAGGGAAGTTAATAACAGGTTTAAGAACAACAACAAAAGAATCAAACTCAAAAGATGCTGGAATTTCCAAGATGACGGTAATATTATCAAGAGAAAATGAAATAGAAATTTATCTGCGTTTTTTTCAATGACCCAGGCTTATTGGACTTTCGCTCGTGGGGAGTTCGCCTCCCATGGCGCAGCTAGGGATTCGAATATTGCAGCCCACGATTTCGCGCACGCCGAAGCGTGGCATGTGTTCCTCGAGTGTTGTCAATTGGTGGTGTCATCAGTATGCTGAATGTGCCAGTCTGAGAACCATATGCGGTTGGTCGGCTTTAGGTATACTGGGCGACGTATGGAATTCCGAACGTCGAACCTGGGAGAGGGAAAATGATTTGACAAAAAAAGTCACAGAGCTGAAAATGAATTTTTGTGAATTAAGAAACCAAGCTGAAAAAAAAGCAAAAACAAACCAAGCTGGCAATCGACGGGGCAGTGTTTGATGGAAAAGGGGCAACCAAAGCCAGTAATGGGTGAATGCTGATTTATACATAGGTGGCGAAAGGGCTGGATGGTTGCGCAACGTTGCGTGTGACAAATACCACGTAATGAGGACACGCGGTATTTACGTTTGCCTTGATGTCTTGCTTTTCTTTTCTCGCCTTACTATGTTTTTCTTTTTTTTTTTAGAAAAAAAAGAAAGAAGAAAAGAAAAGAAATTCTTGTATCACCCTTTTTCGCCCTGCTTTCAAGGGCTGAGACCTACGCCTGCTGCTCCTCCTTTTGTCCAGGTCGAGATCGACACACCGTTTCGGCATACCCATGTTTGAGGGCACCTATTTCAACTTCGGCCAACTCGGCAGGTACTATGTACGAGAGAAGAAGAAAACAAGCGAGATATCAGGTGCAAACGGCACGCTCTGAACAGCACATACCGAACGTCCTCTCCTTGGCAGTAAAACATGTACAATGGTCCCTAGGTGGGAGATCATTTCGTGCTTGGCCCTCGGTGCAACTGCCACATCATCCTCTTTTCCAACGTCTTCTCTTCAGGTGCATTTTAGTTACCTTATATATATATATATTTTTTAAAAAAAAAGAAAAGAAGAGAAGAGGAAAAAAAACTGTACGAGTCTGTAAGAAATTGCCACCCGCCAGACTCGCCATGCCACGTCCATTTTCCAATCTGATTCCAGAACGGTATCCCGAGTTGGACCTGGCTCCGTTAGGATCAAGTCTCGTTACTTCCCTTCCCCTACTCCTACCTCCTTCAACCCTTCCACTTCTCCCCGCCGGGGGCCCGGCGTAGTTCCAATACCCTGTTTGAGAGTACGCTCCACTCCTGACGCCTTTTTTTATTTCTTTTTCTCTCGAATGAGGCGGTCAGTCCTGTATCTTGACGCCTGGGTGGGTGTCTGGACAGCATGCCTTCCGATGATATGATTTGTCTCTCCTTCCAGTCTCGGTAGACGCTTGATCGGTCTCGTGGCCCGGTGACACACTTTTCATCAAAGCAGTGGCCACTCTGGACGCCTTTTTTTTTGACTCTACGACAAGGCTGTGGATATCAACTGTTCAAGGATATACGAGGCGTCTATTAATTTTTCACTCTCATACTATCAAAGAGGTCTAGGCAGACGTGTCAATGGACGTTTTAAGGACTAGCCGGCTTGGGCATGTCTCGACCACGTCGACGTTGTTCGTCTTTTCCTTTCTTCTTTAATTTTCTTGTTTTGAAAATTCACTTTCTCATGGGAGGCTGAGTTGATACGAAGTACTCAGTACCATAGTCCTTATTTTGTCCCATTTCATTTGTGGCCGCCCATCCCTGTCTTTGTCCCTGCGCACCTTGTTTATTTTGTCCTCACTTCCCTCCGCCTCCTTTCTTCTTTGCTCTACCGCTCTGATGTCCCCTTGCACCGATGATCGGATGCATATTTTCGTCTGCATTTATGGAGAACGTCGTACCCGAATGGTTATTTTACTGTTTTGCAATGACTAGCGGTGTAGAATGTCCCGCACTTGACGGGCGGCTCTCGAGATACTAGTCTTTGCATCGTGTTTTACGTTCAGTGTCTTACTGTCAAACAACTGGTAGGACCTCCACCATACCATGGAACAGGTTCACCAGTGGTGCCCCTTCTCCCAACGTCGAACTGGCCAATAGCTCAGCCAACTCACTGGATTCCAAGAAGTGACGGTGTTCCATGCTTTCCTCTTCAATGTTTGGCTGATATGCCGCATCTGAGATTCATGCAGTCACTACAACTTATTTGTGACTTAAAGCGAGGAAGCAAGACGAACGTGTCGGGACGACGTACTGGTTGTTGGAAACATCGGCATCTGATAGCCACGGCATCTTTTTTTTTTTGGCGTATCTCATGCCCTCGGAGTGCTGCCTAAAGCAGACAGTATGAAAAGAACGAATGGTGTGTGCCCAGCGCTGACAAAAGCCATTTATATCCAATGAGTTGTCTGTCATTGATCAGTCACGGTTCCCGCAGACTCTCGTCAATCTCATTCGCCGAGTGTATCAAAAAGCACCGGAAATTCTTATTTGTCACTGGCTCTTGAATCGCATAAATTCTTCAGCTGTTTGTGCCGCGTAGTCTTGAGTACTGACTTTCTCTTCATGGATTCCAAACGAATGAGGGTTGCAGTAGGCAGCCATCTAAGCACGAAGAGGTCAAAATGTCAGCACCTTGCTGCATCTCCTCACCGTACTCTCACTTTAGTAGCACCATCAAAAAATATGTGCATGGTCTTAGGGCCTCAAATTGGGCATAGTCCGTTCATTGCATACGTGGGGGTTTCTTAAAAGAGGAAGAATAAGATGAGACGAGCCAAGGTTGGCAATATGGCCGTGGAGCAAAATTGCCTCCCTGACAAGGATGTGAACGGGCAGGCAATGAAAGGTGCAAATTCGATATCCCCGTTCACCGTTCACCGTATATCGGATTTCTTAAACTCTGGGCGCCTTGAAAAGGCCTCGATCGAGTACTATGAGGGGCCCGGCGAAACAGCTATAAAAACAGACGCCTTTAATCCTTGTAGGCAGCCGGCGGGTTAGCGAAAACCCGGAGACAATTGAAAGTGTCACGCACCGAATTCCACATGCACGTATCCCGCATGGCAAAAAGTTTATTTTCTTCCATTGTGGAGCAAAGTCAGCATGGCAAAATGGTCAGCCTGTTGAAGAGGATGCTTGTTGGCTGTGGGGTCAAGTGCGTTCGGGATAATCCGACACCGCCTTGCTACTCTGTGAACCGAAGAAAGCGAAGGGTTCGTGGAAATCCATGCGAGGTATGGGTCGAAGCTCAGCAGCGTCTGATTGGCCAGAGTCCAATGTCTTGTCGGCACATTACCAATAATTTTCGATGCCTTGTCTCAGGGGACGTCTTCCAAAGCAAGAAGAAGAGGCTGCAGGACGTCCGTGCCCCATAGGAACAGACGGATAGCAGGCAAAAAGGGGGAAGCAAGGGTAGGAAGGCAGCCGCGAGAACGATGCAGGCGTCCAACCAGCAACCCACAAGTTGTGTCCTACTTTGGAAAGGTTTCGCGATTTCGCATCACAAAGCCACTTCTTTTCATAAAGACTGGAGCGCTGAAGACGATTGTACTTCCCACTTTCTTCAATATTGTTATAAAGAGAAAGAAAAAAAGAAGATAAAAAACAATGAAGTGCAAAGCTTCGTTGAACGAGGACGCAGTGGGATGAATAAACTCCGGACACCGTTGGCAGTTGCAAATGCTAAAAATAAGGCTGTCGTCAGCCATTGCGGAGTTTGACGGCTTACCGAGTTCTTCCAAAGGAACGCTGTTGTGAGATTCGGACGCCTTTTTACGCCCGGTCAAAGTTTTAGCCGGTCTTGGATTCGTAGCAAGGCGCTTTGAAATTTCAAATAATTCGAGAACCGTCAGTCAACCCGAAACCGTGGGACTGCGCCAGGGCCAGTCTACATTTTATAACGGGAACGCGCCTGAACGGTGTCCTAATCGAGAAAGGTTTCTCAGCGAGAAAGACATGGGTAGAGGAGGTCTGTGTGCCTTGCACCCCAGCCTTGTCGGTTCGAATTGTTTGCTTTGGTCTCGATTACCGAGCAAAATTCGCTTAAATAACGTGGAGTCCGTTATGGTCGGCACGACATACACAGCGCCAGCCGATGATAAGCCACCGAAGCAAACCGGTTGAAACGGTGAACCGAAAGTCGCCAAAACCGCTGTAGTGAATAAGCACGAGAAAGGCACCGAGGCAATAGACCAAAAGAATGTTTTCTCATACGACGTACGGATACAAGAATGCGAATATAGTCGCCACGGTACGCGATAATGCCGTCCGAAAAGAGTAATCAAGCCAGAAACTCATACACATGTTCTCTACAAGGCTGTAGTGCATCTTTTTAGTCCACTTTTGTGTACGGTCAACCGCTTGCCTGCCAGACGTGCACTGCCAGTCGTGCACTACATACGGGCTGTCATTATACTTGGGAGAGGACAGAAACGTGGACACGATAGAGTACAGCTTCAGAGAGAAATATTCCTATCGTCATGGAACATGTTTGCATGGGAAAAGTAGATCACTATCGTGAGCTGGTGATTTGTCCGAATTGGCCACTGAAGCCAAATTGGGGAGCTGCCAATATAAGGCTGATTCCGTCCCATTCACAATGTCAGCGAATGGTAAGATGGCCGAGCGGTCTAAGGCGCTAGCTTCAGGTTCTAGAGTCGAATTTCCGGATTCGAATCGAAGTACGTGGACTTGCTAGTCTCGCAAGAGGCGTGGGTTCGAATCCCACTCTTATCACTTTTACTTTTGTGTTTTAATTTTTTTTTCATTCAAACGACACACATGGTTTTTAAATATATTTAATTACACCGTGCTTCTCTTGCGATTTTTTTTTTCAATAGAAAGCGAGAGTAGAAGGGGTGGTTGTACTACGGTGCTTTGCCGTGGTGTAGTGCAAAAGCCTTCTTCCGACCCGCCAGCCTCGTGAGAATCTGAAATTCATAGCAGGACAACATCAGAAACAGAACATCAAAACGGAAATGGTAACTCTCATGCAACACAGCATGAGCGGCTATGCCGCATTCAGAGAACTATACGGTGTCCCCCGTTGCCACGCTCTCAACTTCACGCCTGATTCGGCCCTTTCTCCTTTGGCCCATTTGAAGGGACTACTGCGGCCTGCGGTGGTGGCCAAGTATGGGCGCTATTGATGCACGGCGAAGGGGGTCGAGCTTCTAATGTCCTCATTATGGTACCATACGTGTCTTTCTTCGAGACAAGAATGTACCCAGACCAGTGTGGGGGCGTGTGAAGAAAATGGATGCATCAACTCTGGCCCAATATGTCTAAATATGTGCCGTGAATATTATGTAGTTTCTCGGATAGCACTTCTTACAAACAGAAAAGCACGCCTTGCGTAAGCCCCGCCGATACACACCCAACATTTTGTCTACGGTGGCGACCATGAAAAGATACAGAGGGATCGAGGACGGCCTGTTTTAGTCAAGAGAGCAGCGGCTGAGATGTAAAGAGAGGGAGGGAACCAGAGAGACAAAAGTTGGGGGCCGGCGGTAAACTCGCGTGCAGTATTACGAAGTACGTCTTGTATTGTGTGCACATGACACCATCGGCGCAGCTCGTCGCCAGACTGCCAGCAGCTTCATTCTCTCCCAAGCGTCGTGCGCCTTTTACGTTCCTTCAGATCACCAATATACTCGGATTGTCCACCTTTCACATCAATTTTTTTTTCGTCGAAACTGTACAACCTTGCCATCTCCTCCACCTTCCCATCATGTCTCGCTATACCCCAGCCGCATCCGGTCCTCACTCCCTCCCTCACTTGGCAACATGTGGGCAAACTAAGAAGGGTTCGGTTTTCAGCTCGTCCACGCAAAAGAGGGGAAGTGCTGGCTTGCAGAACTACATACTTGAGGTGGGAGAGACAACAGCCGAATGATTGGCTACAACAACTCTCGTATAAAGAGTAGAGCAGTGAAACCAGCGCCAACTCAAGTTACTGCTTGAGAGATACATGCAGAGTACTAGATGTGCCGCTCCTACGCATGCACGGGCTGTTTCTCCTTTGTTTGGATAAGAGATCAGCCACGTTTCTAGATCGATTGTACACACTCGTGCGTGTACTCGACTATATAATGGCAGGTAGCCCACTAGTGTTGTGATCGTTGATAACATCACTGTTGACTGGCTGCAAAATGAAGCTGTTGGCTTGTGAACCCGATTTTCGATCTGCTGCGAGTCGATACAATCGCCCACTTTGGCGTGACTTTCATTCCCAAATAGCCGTACTCTGCCAGAAACCGAAAAACACAAGTGTATTTCGCCGTTGTGTATGGTTGAAACGATTGGCTGTAAATGACGTACACAAAACGAGCCGGGGGATGTTCCGTGACTCCCCGCCACAACAATTTCGCTCAACGGGCCGGCCCGTCGATCCTTCCTTCAGAACCACCAAAGGTTATTTGCACCTCGGGACAACAGGCCGGAGCCAGATCGATCCCCGGGATCGATTTGTGCATGCAGGCTCCATACGATTGGTAATTCTGGGGTAATCGCATAATGGTGGCACATCGGGAACCTTGTCCTCAGGATATCTGCTCCCCAAGTTACGTCATGGGACGAATTTTTGAGGAATATTTTCATTCGCCAACGTCACGTTTACTGAAAGTGATTCACACGCGTGCAATCTGGAAAGTTCGTCATGTGGATCTAAATAATTTTGAAACTTTTGTATTATGCAGACCGTAAGTCGCTGGCCCTTGAGAAACCGTGATATGGACAATGGGCAGTAGTAAATCTGGAGAGATAAAGAAAATGAAGCGCTCTGCTTGGAAACAAAAAAAACCAAAACAAATAAATGCAAAGCCCCGCGCCACCATGTAAATGCCCATTTAAAACAAACAGGGGCCGACCGATGCCAGCGTACCAAATTCCCTCCCCCTCGCCGACCTGAACGTTGCCAGTTGTTGTTTGCCCGCCCACCCACCCAATTGTTAGGGTGGGTCGTCGGGTTCTTCGCCGAAGCGTGTCACTTTGGCCCGTGCCATACCTTCCATGTCCGAGAAATTCACGTCGTCCGTAACGTCATTGTCGTTGTCAAAGTCGGCCGTATCACTATTGTCATCATCCTCAAGAACAGTCCCTGGCAGAACCTTGCCTTTTCCCTTGTCCTTGGGCGCATCGGTTTCCACGTCATCCTCCATGCTAGCATCACCCGCCACCGGAGAGGCCGTGTCCAAATCCAGATCGTCTTGGGCCGGTTCATCCTCGAGTGGATCGCGAAACTCGTCCATCACGGAAAATTTGTGAGCCGTCGCGTCGTACGAAATCCACCTATTGAACGTTGCGAGCTGGCAGGCCATCCACAGAACGCGCTCCTTTCGGGTCAGGCGCGTTGAGGACGACTCCATCAGCCGCTCGTCCTCATCAGCGGAATCCATGTTCGCGAACCAGCCTTGCGGGTAGTTGTATTCGGACCACAACAGACCACGCAGGTACCAGTCGTCAGGCAGCGGCTTGTCAGCATCACTGCGGACTGGCGGCGGGGGCTCAAACGTGACGTTGGTGTTGACAGGCTCGGTTGGGACAAAGGGGCTGTTGTCGCCGTTTGCCGCGGCGGCTTGCTGCTGTTGCTGTTGCTTGAATTGAATCTCCTGAATCCGCCTCTCCTCCTCGGCTTTGCGATCGACTTGTGGCTCCATAAACACTTCCCGCTCGATCCTGTCGTACCGCGGACTGGTCAGGAGCATATTATTGAGAGTCACTACAAGCGGCTCCCAAGGGAATGTCTTTTCGAGGTACGCCATGCCCTCAGGGACGCGCGCGAAGCATAGCATCCACACAAGGCGCGCGTGGATGTAGCCGTGGCAGTTCGCATCACCAACGCGGGCCAAAACAACGCGGTCAATGTCAGCCACAAGATTCTGGGCTGGCTCGAGAGCCTGCACGATCTCAGGATCAACAGCCATTCGCTCATCAATACTTTTCTCGGGTTGCTGTACATTGCCCATCGGTACATCGACTGGGGCGTCTGTTGGAGCACCTGCCATGGCACTGCGATACATGTCATCGTGTAAAATACGCATGAGAACATTGTCGTCTCCGCCGTAAGAAAGCAACGAGCAACTGTTCACAATGGCCATATACACGCCGGTTTCGACCCAGGCCCGAGACGATAACGCAATATGATCATCAAGTCCGGCGACAAAGTCACCGACAGTGGGCCGGAAGTCAGGCGTCGTCTTCATACCATTTTTAAATAAAATCGCATGGGCCTTGATAAACGCCAGCTCAATAGGCGGGACATGTTGGGTGGCGTTGTTTAAGACGGGGTCCAAGAGTGTCATAATCGACTCGCGGGTAGAGGTGAAGGGGATAGGTGTACAGAGACTTTTGACATAAAAGTAGAGCTGCGTCACAACATACGGTCTCGCCAAAATGGCAAGGTGATGGTGGAGTCTGCCAGTCGCTGGAGCACGGTCCGAAGCCAGAGTGTACCAACGCCGCGACACGTTCGTCCAGGTGTCACGCACCCGCTGGTTATCGTCCTCGATTGCCATCCTATAACGCGACAAATCGCCTAGACACTCGACCCAGGTATCCTCGAACGTGCGGACCGTCTCATACAAGAGCGCAATGATCGAGTATGCCATATAAATAAACGTAATCATGTGCTCGCGAGATTCAGGAAGACGGTGGCGTAGTAATTCGAGGAAGCTGTGGATACCATGACGCCACATACGGGCTGGGATCGCGTACTTTTGAGCAACACGGCGGAGTGCAGGCGAGGCCGAGGGGTGCTGAGATGCAAGCATAAAGTCATGATGCTCGTGCAAGAGCGTCCTGTGCAAATTCAATAGAGCCTGCCACTGGCCATCATCCAGTTTGACTTGAAGATCTATGGCGCTGGACTCGCTATCGATCTCAATGCACTTGGACTCAACCATGGCAAGCCCGACATAAATCCCCTTCACTTCGTTGACCAGTTGCGTGAGCGTAATGGGCCGTGTCTTTGGTTGTAACTCTATATTTGGATATCTCGATTGTGGCGCCGCCTTGCTGCCATGCTGTGGATGCGGGGGGTTGGAGGATAACGAGCCAGCTCGCTGATGTGGCTGTGGTGGACGGGCAGCAGGTGCCCCAAAGGGCTTGTTCGGGGATGGCGCAGCAAGTATGCCGGCGCCACCACCCCTTGGTTCCCTTGCCCAACCGGGTCCACCAGGCGCACTTCCACGGCTCGAGACGTTCGGATGGTATTTTGGATTGATGGTAGGTTGTGCGGCCTTTTGCGGAGATTGAGCGGGCGGTGCAGCGGATGATGTTTGTGAAGAAACAGCGGTTTGCTGGGGGGGATGCGGGGTTGCATGGTTTTGGCTTTCTGAATTATTTAAGGTTGTGGGAGATTCGGTTTGTTGAGATTGTGTCGTTGCGTTATTAATCGGTATAAACGTTGAAGAGGAGTTGACAGAAGACGTCTGTGGGATGTGGCCTGGCTCATAGTTGTGGCTGGCTGGCGAGAAAGCATGGTTTGATCCATGGGGACCAATAACAGTAGTTGCGGTGCTGTGCCCAGGCTGGCTGGGCGGGTGGTGTAGTTGCTGGTGGTGCAGGCCGAGGTTCTTGTTCTCGACAATGCCTTGCTCCTGGCCATGCTCCGGATGGATGGTGTTAGTTGGTGGAGCTGGTGTGAGGAGGGCAGGGTTGCCGCCTGCAAGGTCGTGTGGTGGTGGCTGTTGCGGCTTGAATGGCCCTTCTGGCGTCTGCATCTCCGGGTGCCTAGGATGTGCCGATTCTGCGGGAACAACGGTAGACGCTGCAGACGGTGCGTAGGCCGCAGGCGGTCCAGAGGAGGTAGACGCGGGAGTCGATGCGGCTGAGTCAATGGTAGGATAGGATGCCGAAAGCAGAGTGTCGGTGTTTGGTGGGGATGAGGCTGGAGAGGCAACAGGGGAGAAAACACCAACGTCGGACGCGGCAGATTCCGATGGCGATTTCTGGGACCTCTGTTTCTTATATACTGGTCGGTGGAAGTCATGAAGTGGTCTCTTGCTGCAAAAGAACGACAATGTTAGCAATGCTGATGGACGAGGATGGAAAAGAACGTGTCTAGATAAAAAAGACAGAAAAGGGGGAATACGGGTCTGTCATGGTTGCCTGCTAGTGGTAGGTCAAAGCAAGTACTGAGGTTATGCTTAAAACGGAAGGAACAAGTGAAGTCGTGAAGTCAAGAGGCAGGAACGACCGTTGAGCACATGCAAGAGCCGCAATGCAGGAACCAGCGGGCGGGCCAGACGGGGACTGCACGGACCGGGGAGGAACGACCAAAGGAGTAAAAAAATAAAAAATAAAAATAGGAAAGTAGAAAAATAAGCTTACACATGGCTGGCCGAACTTGAACTGTGCCGGTGGGAGTGCTTGGAGTCTCCCGCCAATGGCAACGACGGTTTTTGCTGTTGTGATCCGTGATGAGCCCCAGAGTCGCTGCCTGCCGTCCCCCTGTGTTGCGCGTTGTCATGTCGAGGCGCCAGTGGCGGCGAACCTTGCTTGTGTCGTCCATTTCCCAAGAAGTCTGGGTTCTGCGAATCAGGCGGCGGTTGGCTGCCTTCACTGGACGACTGACGCATCATTTGGAGCGCTGTTTGTTGGAATAATAATATCTGTGGTGGATGGTGCGACTGCGTGGGGGCCAAAAGTCAGCATGCGTTAATGGGAGACGGAAAACTAGGGCGAGCACGCCGAGAAAATGAAACTGGCGAAGAATTGGCTGGCATCGGTCGAGGAAGAGGTCGAAACCCATTGTGTGTATGAGGTATGAGGCGTGCCTGGTGCGAGAGCCGGGCTTCTGGTTGCAGGTCGACTTACCTCGGAATTTGGGTATGGATTCCAGCAAATCTGTTGGATTTGTCGGATTTGTCGGATTTTTCGGATTTTCACGGATTGGACAGTCTAAGACAACAACAGCTGAATAGAGGGACGAGCAGGCTGTATCGCAAAGAGTAAAATGCGGCATGGGGTTGACACACTTCCTGGCAAAATGGCCAACTGGTGGTGTTTGGATGCATTTTATATTCTGTAGATTGGATGCGTTCGCAAGGTCCCGGCCGTAGTTTGGTTCGCATTGTCGTGCGGACTGGACTAGACTGCGGCTCTGCAAACGCCGTAGTATCAAATCATGGTTCAGCTCTAATTGGCCAGTCACAATGCGTCCCCAATATCCCTGCATGCAAGGACCTTTAATGGCCAAAGCGTCTCCGTCCGCCCTGAAGCGCCGTACTAGAAAACGTGCAAAATGACAATGCATAAGAAACCTGCACATCCACAAGGAGTCGGATGCAGCCAGCGGGCGCAATTGTCAAGGATTGGACTGGACGCCATTTCAGCCTCTGCGTCGAAAACCGTACCAAAGCGATACCGTTTTCTTAGTCTTCCGTTTACTTGGGCCCTTCCCTTCACATCTACGTCACGTGATTGGGTCAAAGTCGGAACAGACACCGCCACTCGCCACAGCGGCCGCCTGGCATGGCTGACCAACACAGCTGAACATACGAATCGCTTCAAGACGTAAGCCATCGATGCCTACGGAGTACAGCGACCTGGCTACGTGACTACCTGACAGTCAAGCCACAAGCTGCCTCCCGAGGCGCAAAGTCGCAAGGCCTGGCCGCCAGATCTCGCAGGGATTGCGGCAGAAGTCGCCACGACCATGTTCAAGCTCAAAGGCGCCGACCTTGGCAGATTCAATGCTATGCACAAGGCGTAGCCTCCATAAAAGGCTGACCAGTTGAGCAGGGCAAGGGCAAAGTGCCAGCTGTCGGCCTTCTCTCGAGGGCCGGGTCTGCCTCGGCCACCTAATGTGGCCACCTTGTCAGAGGTCAGGCCAGCAAAGAGCAGGCTATCTTGTCACCTATGAAGTGGACGCACGCGATGGGCTCGCCTTGTTTTGTTGTTGTAATACTGTCGCTTTTTGACAGCAGACCTCGACACGACACGACGGCTGGGTACAGATGAGATAACACGAGGCGCGGTTCGTGTTGTTCGCTGGGCAGAAAGGTTTGCGAGCCAGACACCGCAAAAGAGAGCGGAAGTCGTATCACGCACACAAACAAGGGGAGAAAAATAAAAGACAAAACGGAGAGGTACGGCCACGACATGGCCCACAACCTTTTACAAAGTACACGCCGTCGGCAAGTTATCCTGCCCTGTGCCTTGCATACAGGCAGCTACGTCACTCACTTGTTGCCTCTCAGGATTTGCATTGACACCACCCAGCAAAACCTCGCCTTGTGTGATTGTTTTCTTCAGCTCTTGCTATGTCGGGGCCCACTGCCGATGCGAAATCAACTGGTGGTCACCCAAACTTAGTCAGATGCAGAGAGCCTGTTGCATGCATTTTGAAATCGGGCTCTCGATCTTATACGTGGCCGCAACGTAATAGACGAACAGGTCCGATTGAATAGCAAGGCGGATAGGTCCGTTGCCAGAACAAAACTAGAAGATTCTCGAATACAAAAAGGGGGGGAGGGCGTTGGGTATCAATAACGAGGGTGACAAGACATATCGGGGAATATCAACATGAGCGTTTGACATGCAGATCCACAATGCCATGCTTTCGATGTCTGCGTATTCACATTGGACAGCAAAGTGCCGGCCGGATCACCTCCGGCCCCAAATTGTTGATGCCCAATCGCAACGTTCAACGACCAAACAAAAAAAAAGAAAGCAAACAAGCAAACAACAGACGCGTTTGGGAAAGTCGTATTGATCATCTTGTGCTATGCAATATTCCATATAAATTAGCCAGGGATTATTTACCAGGTGGTGTGCCGAGATTTTTCTGATGGAAACGCGAGCTTGTGGGGTGTCTGTGTGATACGGCCATGTCGACGTGCTGCACGTCAAAAGTGAGGCTGCGAATGACATGGCAGAGCTTGTTTAACAGGCGTCTAGCTGAGAGTCAGACGGGTCGTAAAAGGGCACGCAGGATTTGTTTTTGTAACGGAGCAAGACCCGATGTTATATCCATATACGGAAATTTATGTCATAAATTTCCGGGATAATGAAAGGTAGTTATTGATCAGTGCGACTTGTTTGATTTTGCGTAAGATGAGAATTTTTGGGCCGCAAAGGTGGGGACAGTTTTTTACAAAAATAAGAATAAACATAAAAAACCGATAATCTGTTGAGGCAGGCACGCAGTCACGTCTTAAGACGAAGTGAAAGTGAACTTATGCTGACATTTATACACCTTCTGCCTCACAGGTGCGTTCCATAGTCCAAATACGTTCAATTGGGTAATAGTATGTTGCACATTTGCTCGATATAGCATACGTTCGAGTATGTCCATAATTGTGAATGTCGTCTCAAAAGCACATATACCTTTATAAGCCCACCCATTCGCTGCAACTGTGGAATGTGGACATTGTTGTGTAACACGGAGTGATGAGAGCTCTTACAAGCTCTGCCTCTCGATGTGCGAATGCAATAATTTGCACTTGTACAGTCTTAGCCGGACGACGCAAGTTGTGAGGGCTGCTGGTTCTATATGTTTCTTTCACTTTAATGTCGTTTGAAAAAGAAAGCTTTGATAACGAGATTGGAATCGTATATAGTTTCTTCTTCATCTTGTCGACTAAAGACTGTAATTCGCTTTTTTATCCTCTTACTTCATGTTAAATACTTAGCAGGCGTTGTCCAATGCCGACACATCTTTATTATGACTTACTTGGTTGCTCCTTATTTGTTGTTTATCGTCGGACACAATTTGTACGACGCTCTGTTTTATTTCATAATTATAGTGAGAGCAGATTGAGTCTTCCTCTTTGGTTCCGTTTTGTTCCCCTCTCTTTGACCTGCACCTGAGCGTCACATTCCCGCGGGTACCAACAGACAATTTGTTGGGAACGGCCAGTTCGAAACAAGGCGGCCAAAGTAGACGCCTTTGCGACACCGCTTGTCTGCTTTCTCTTTGATATGCGTCCCTTGATCAACGCCTTAATCTCCCTTTTTCGTTTGAGTTTGCATTGAAAGACCTGGACTGATTGCCGAATTCTCTGTCTTGCGTGCCGAATTTCGTTTAGCGGAGTTGGTGCGGAAGGGCCGCCGCAGGGATGGGAATATCATTGGCTACTCGGATGCTGCCAACAGAACAATAAACACAAAAAGTGCACTTGTCTTGAAATAACACACTTTCGGTGTCTGCCGCTTTTTCCATGTCAGAAAATTATCTCACCTTCTCGCAACGGGTCGTATCTTCCTCTGCTAGGAGTGGCGGCCCGTGTGTGTCGTTTCACGCAGCGGTGTTTTCATTGTGATTGTCATGGTGACTTGGCTTGACCAGGGACGATGATCCCAAGAATAGAATCATTGGCCTTGCAAGTGCCAAAAAAGAAAGAAAGAAAGAAAGAAAATGAGAAAGAGTCATGCTGTCGATTCTGCCTCAGCGCTCTTCGGAAACGAATTGGGATGGTTGGCTTGACGCCCGGCACAGGCTAAGGTCAGCCTTGTCAAGACCTTCGGCGGCCACCCGACACAGCCGTGCCGTCGTCACCATTTCCTTCCCTGAGTGAAACAGGCAACCAGCCGTCCAAGTTTCTTCTTGTGGGTCTACCAGTTCAAGATGTCAAGTCTTGATCGATATCTCAGAAAGCCTTGTTGGTTGTTCGATTGTCAAGAAGAGCTTGCGCCCAGAGATCACTGTAGGCACATGATTGCCCAATCAACGCATCCGACTGCTATTCCCACAAAAGTGCGAGGGCAAAAAAAAGCCCGTATGCAAACATCAACGGGCTAACGCAAGGCGACCCAAAGTGCAAAAATGATTGGCTCTGGACGCTTCTAGTCTCCCCAGATTGACAACCACACTTGATCAGGTTTTTCGCGCAGCATGCACGCTTCATTGGTCCGATCATCCATTCTCGGCTTTTTGTTGAGAACAAAAAGGGATGGGGAGAGACGGTGATGATCGGGTGCGCCATTTGAGACCATCCGGGCATCAAGTTGATTCAACCTTGGTCTGACACTCTTGCCATGTTATTGTTCACGGTGTCTATGTCGACTGGGGGCTCTGAAGGGATGCAAAGCAAAAGAGGGAGGAGATGCGCGGGTTGACATTTCCTGGAAATGGGGCCGGCGCAGGTTAATATGAGGAGGGGTGTTGTCAAGCGGCTGGATATGTCGTCATATGGGAAGCCTTAGCACAAGGCCAAATTTGACATGTAAAAAATGCACATTATAGAAAAGAGATGAACAACACGATTGAATAAATGTGGTAGCTCAACAAAAAGTAAGTTGGCGGCCGGATCGACCAGGATAAAAAGCACATGTGAAATTATATTGGAACGGCTGCAGGAGGCATGCCAGCATGGACGCCTTGATGTGGCCAGAACTCGCAAGGTTTCAGTCACATTATGGGAAAGCACATGAACTGGTATGTCCTATCAAATGGAGAAGCAGGCGATGGGGTCCTCGTATGGAGGAGACATACTCGAAAGTAAAATGAAGGCTGTCCTATGATGTTTCGCCCAGTGCACAAAGAAAGACAAAGGCGTCGATGCGGTGCCCCGTTGACTTCTGGCGACTGATCAGCCTCATGCGTGTTGCATTATGCCAGCCTGTGTCTTAGCCTTGCGCCTTTTGTTGTCACCTGTTCCACAGAAGGTGTTTCAAGGCAACAGAAGGTGGCCAACACCGAACCATCAACACATCCACCGAAGGCGAGGTTCGGTCACTAGCCATAGACAATGCTAGGCGAAGCGAATGAGGGCGGGCAAAAGGACAAAATAGACAGCGACAGAAATGACGACAACGCAAGTACCGAGACTCGGCTGGAGCGTAGGTGGTTGTGTTCAACTTTGCACAACGACTGTAAGCAACCTGATAAGCCAAAGGGCTGGGCATGGAACTTGATGTGGTTCGTTGTGCATAGCAACAAAAAACAGGTCGTGTTTTTGGCTCGTCTTCATTTCAACGACACTTGTCATAATGCATACCGCAGGAAGCATATACAGCGCTCCGTAACGAATCTTTGTGATCCTTGTGGTCCTTCCGATGTAGACATCACCTAAGAGACGCCTGAAAAGATGATGCACCACCGTATCGTGCGCCCGCAGGACTCTCGTCGCTTGACCTCTGCTGTGCATCGCGTGCGGGCGAAATGCCTCGTCCAACTCGTCCGACTGAATGTAGGCACGTCCTTGTGTGACCCACGATTGTTTTGGCCCACGTAGCATGTCCGTAATTGCTTGTGGATCAGCTGCCTTTATCTCAGTGTCTCACGTAGCCCTTGCGTTACTCCACGCCTTGTTTCGACGCCTCGTCTGTACATCCTCTGGGCGGGATAGTCGAAAGTCTCGAGGATCTCGACAAACGGTTCGGTAAACGGAAACAAATATCGGTCGTGTGCTGGTGCCTGCGAAAGATGACACCGAATTTGTGGAGGTAGACAGTATCAAATTGTTGTCATTCTTGGGTAGCAGAGAAGACGCAGCAGGTGGAAGCAGAAATGTGGAATAAAAAATACAAGGGACAATACGGATCAGGTAGGCAAAGAAAGGGAGGAGCAGACGCAGCGACGAAGGAAAGAACGGAAGGAAAAGGATTGGGCAGGTAAGTGCGGAGGGAATGCAAATGCTATGTGAACGTGAAGATATAGTCAAGTAGGGAAGGTGTGCAGCAATTGTGAGAGTTAGAGAGGAAGGTGTGAGTGACCAGAAACAGAAGGTGAAGAAAATGTGTCGTGGGTTATCGTAGAAAGACGAAATAGGAAGGAAAAAAGAAGAAACTGCCAAAGACGACAACGGCGGTGGCTTCCAGTTATACCAAATGCAGGTGCAAAATGGCCCACAATTATTAGCAGAGGTTCCGTGAAGCTAGGCAAGCTCGACCGTGCAATTGGGAAGGAGCATAACAGGGGCTTGGTCGATTTTGCAGCGAATAGCATCACGTAAGGCTAAAGCGCCACGTCCCATCATTTAATCCTCCTCATAAGTCAACGTCAACGTCCTCGCATCACGACGTCTGATCTCGACGACAACCAATTATCCTCGGCATTGTCGACCCCCATCCAAACTTCCCGACGACGGCATTGCGGCCCGCCACTCGATACAACGACCATCCTCGACCTGCCCCGCCCCCTTTCTTCGAGCATGGAATAGATAGCGAGACAGCATCCCATCCCTCCTTTTTTTTGTCCAGATCTGTATCATCGAAAACGCCCTGGGCACGCAGCGCTCCGTCCTATACGTCCCAGTCCCGCGACAATGCGCTCCTTCCGCGCGCTGGCACTCTTGGTGCTGGCCGCTTCCGCACCCGCCGCCGTCGACGCCATTGTGTACAAGGACCAAGTCGGCGACATTGACTTCCACCACCAGCTCGTTGGCCTGCCCCAGCGCGACGCCACCTTCTTCCACCGCCCACGTCGTGATGACAAGGCGAGCCTGCTCTATACACTAAGCGATGTCGGCGTGCTGGGCGCCGTTAATCCGAGCAGTGGCGCGCTCGTCTGGCGGCAACTGCTCGGCGAACATGACGGTGACGCCGCCGAGGCCGACGCATTGTTTGGAAAGGGCCACGTCGAGGCTGTCGAGGGCGAGGGCTGGCTGGCCGCAGGCCTGGGCCACTCGGTGCATGCTTGGAACGCCGTGTCGGGCCGGAGCGTGTGGTGGGCGGACTTTGCGGGCGAGGTGGCGGATGTCGCGGTCGCCGCGGCAGCGGACAAGGTAGACACGGACACGGCTACCCTTCGCAGAGACGTTCTGGCACTCTTCCTCGAGGACGGCCACGTTGTGTTGCGTCGTCTGACGGGAAACGATGGCCACGTTGTGTGGGAGCACCGCGAAACACATACGGGCAACCCTTCGGTCAAGATTGCTGCATCGGCCGACCGGGTTTACGCCGTCAGCATTGCCCCAGGAGCGACTGGTCTCAAGGTCCTGGCTGTGGACGCAAACACGGGACATCGCGTTGAGGATCACACTCTTGCCAGTGACGTTCACGCCGTTTCGGACGTCCTGTTTGTCGGCGGCGGCATCGTGGCCTGGACGGACAGTGGCCGCACGAAGATTAAGGTCAGCGTGCTCGGCACCAAGCAGAAGCACGAGTTTGCACTGCCTGAGCGCACAGAGAGTGTGATTGTTCACGCCCTGCGCAGCCAGTCTTCGTCGCCTTCGTTCCTTGTTCACACGCGCACGGCGGACGCCCACCGCGGCCAAGTCTACCACGTTGACGTGAACAAGGGTTCCGTGCAAAAGGCGTACGACCTGCCCCAGCAGCCCGGTGCTGGCGCCTTCGCTGTGACTGCGTCCGACGCCGATGCTGTCTTCTTTACGCGCATCACGGACGACGAGGTCGTTTTGTTCAACTCGGTCTCGCACGGCATTCTGGGCCGTTGGCCCGTTGCCCAAGGGGCCCCCCTGCACGCATCGGGCGCCGCAGCGGCCGAGGTTGCAGCTCGCCCGGGTGCCGGTATCGAGATCAGCTACGCTGTCCGGACCGCCGTGCTCACGGCCGATGAGGACTGGGTTCTTATCCGCAACAACGGCCAGCGTACCTGGTCGCGTCCCGAAGGCCTGACGGGCGCTGTGGCTGCTGCTCTCGCCGATCGTCCCGAATCCGAGCAGCTTGTGCGTGCTCTCGAGGAGGAGGAGGCCCAGAGTCCGCTTGCGGCATACGTGCACCGTGTTCGGCGCCACGTTGAAGACCTCGCGCACCTTCCGGCGTACCTGCAGTCGCTGCCGGGCAAACTTCTGCGCAGCATCCTTGGCAGCGCCAGCTCAGACGACGCCACGCCTGTTGCCGACCCCTTCGGTTTCCACAAGTTGGCCATCCTTGCCACCCGCCGCGGCCGCCTCTACGGCCTGGACGCCGCCAGCCCCGGTTCCGTGCTGTGGACCGCAAGGGCAGTCGACACCGCATCTGGCCCCTGGAAGGTCCAGAAAATCTACGTTGATGAGGCGAACGGCGTGGCTACGGCTGTCGGTGCGACCGCCGGCGAGTCTGTTGCCGTCAAAATTCAGACGGGCGAGATTACTGTGTCGACTGTCAACGACAATGTGAACGGTGCCGTGGCGACCGCCGTCCTGGTCAACAGCGCGTCTGGTCCCTATCTCCTGGCCGTGCCCGAGGACGGCTCCATCCCTGCTATTCCCGTCGACAAGTGCCCCACCGAGTCCATTGTCATTCGCGAACACGCATCTGTGGCTGGCATTCGCGGCGTGCGCTTCGTGGCATCGTCCGATGCGTGTGCCCAGGAGACGACCTGGACGTTTTCCGTTCCACCGCAATTCCGCATTGTGGATGTGGCCACACGCCATGCGCACGACCCTGTCGCGTCGATTGGCCGTGTGCTGGGCGACCGCACCGTGCTCTACAAGTACCTCAACCCGAACCTTGCCGTCGTCGCCGCCATCAACGACGAGACGGGCGTGCTCATGACCTTCATGCTCGACACGGTCTCGGGACAGCTGCTGTCGTCAGCCACGTACGAAGGCGTCGACGGCTCCAAGCCCGTCGAGTGCCTGCTGTTTGAAAACACGTTCCTCTGCACGTACTTTGCGGACTACCGTGTGTCCATCGGCGGCGATGCTGTCCAGACCATCAAGGGCTACCATCTGGCGGTCAGCGACATGTACGAGTCGACCGAGCCCAACAACCGCGGCGTGCTCGGCAGCGCGGCCCAGAACACGTCGGCTGTGGAGCCCCTGGAGGTGGTGTCGGACACCGCGGCCGGCCAGCCGCTGCTTTTGCCTGCCGTCACGTCGGCCACCTGGGTTGTCGGCTCGCGCCTGACGAGCCTCGCGGTCACGCAGACGCGCCAGGGCATCAGCGTGCGCCATGTGTTGGCATACATGCCGCGCCTGCACGGCATCGTGGGCCTCCCGCGCGTCGGTGCCGTGCTCGATCCCCGGCGCCCCGTTGGGCGCGCCGCTACGCCCCAGGAGGCCGAGGAGGGCCTGGTGCCGTACGCGCCGCAGCTCGAGATCGATCCGCGGCTTGTGGTGTCGCACGAGCGCGACGTGCTCGGCATCCAGCAGATCGTGACGGCAGCGACGCACGTCGAGTCGACGAGTCTGGTGCTGGCGTTTGGTCGTGTGGACGTGTTCGGCACGCGTGTGGCCCCGTCGCTGGCGTTTGACCTGCTCGACAAGGGCTTCGGCAAGCTGTCGATGCTGGCAACGGTGGCGGCGCTGGCGGTGGGTGTGTTTGTGCTGCGTCCTATTGTGACCAAGAAGCAGATCAATCTGCGGTGGAAGGCCCTCTTGTAGGAGAGCCTTTTCTACGTAATATTGTTTTTGTTCCTTTTGTTTTGTTTCCGCATGTTGTTTTATCATATTGTCTTCTTGTATATTTAAAAGGGGCCGAATGTAGAATCTAGACATTGCCATTCTTCTTTGCGTCCTCGTGCATTATAATTGAAAATAGAGAAAACGTGAAAAGCGAAAATTAAAAACAAAGTATAGCCTGTATGTTGTATAGCAGTCTAGCCCCGTCTTTGGAAATGACCAGCCTGTCTAATGTTGCGTAGAATTTCAAAGGTCGTGATATCGTAAGATTTTCCGATGCCTCATGTCCCGGTCGTTCTTTCCCACACCTTGTCGTTGCCTTCCATCGCCCCTTCCGCCTCACCTTATCCTCGCCTTCCTATCCTGTCGATTAGTCCCCTCCCGTCCGCACCGCGCCTTCCGTTCCGGCTAGCAAACTCACTTGAGATCATACCTCGGCAGACCCATCCACACATAATGTTCCGTCATGCCCAGCTCTTCCCAGTGCGCGCGTTCCTTGGCGTTCTTCAGCCACAGCATGCCCAGCATGCCCAGCGAGCCGGCCCCGGTGCCGTCTTTGCCGCCGCGGCGCCGGGGGATCATGCACATCCACTCGGGAGTCATGATGACGTTGTTGGCCGTTGCGGATTCAGGGAGGTCATCGAGGGCGGGTGTGCTGTGGCCGGGCGTGCCGCTGGCGCTCTTCTTGTGCGTCTTGTTGCCATTGGTTCCGTTGGCTCTGTTGGTCCCGTTCGTGCCGTTCGTGCCGTTCGTGGCTTGTACCAGCTTCCGTTCGACGTGTTCCTTGTGCGCGCGGCGCACCTCGGCCAGCAAGCGCTGGTAGACGGCCAGGATGTAGTCGGGTGTGATGGGTCCTGTCAGGCGCTGGACAAAGTGCTGGAACGGCACGGTCGGGTGCTGGACGATGGGTGCGTTCTCTCTCGACGCTGTCGTTGTCTTGTTGCCGGACGCCTTTTCGGCCAGAGCAAGCGCCTCGACTGGGAAGAGAGTAAAGCCCGGGTCCGGCTCCGTGAACACCTGAACGTGCTTGTGGCCCTGGGAGGCGCCACCCTCATAGCCACAGTTGTAGATCATCATGGGCGGCTGGTGGCCGCGGTCCCGGATGGCAGCCATGACGGCCCACGTCGCCGCCCAGTCGCCAGCGTCCAGGTCGTCCGTCTGCGGTGCAAACAGTCGAGTGTGCAGCACATAGTGTGGACGAATCATGGCGTGCATGCTCAGCTCGACAACATGGTCGGGGCCGGGGCGGGCCACGACGAAGGCCGGGTCCGGATCGACAAAGGGCCCGCCCTTTCCACGTCGCTCCGGAGCATCGGCGGCAAGGATGGGTTTGCGGGCGATGGATGGAGACGTCTTGAATTCGAACTGGACGAGTTAGAGCAGAGCGACAAGAGGCCAAAGACGGGGGCAGAAGTAGGGTACAGTACGTTGAAGCCATTGTGCTGGACAACCTCGCCGTCGGTGGGAAAGTAAAAGAGGAGACCCTGCTCGCGAAGCAGGTCGAACTGGTCGACGGCCGACTGGGGAAACTCGGGCGGCAGTTGGATGTCCATGGCAAGAGGCGAGGGCGAGAGAGGAGGCTTCAATGCTCCGTTGTGTGGTGCAGGGTAAGAATCTCACGGGGCGATATGATGGATCCCTTTCCGTCTTTTTTGGTCTAAAATTTCGACTCTTGCCTGAGCAGCTTTAGAGACACTGTATTTTGAACGGAGTACTTTAATTAGGCGCGGCTTTGCTCTGTGAGTGAAGTAGATTCAGACTTGGCTCAGAACACAGATAAGACATTTCTCGATATCGTTTGGGCGTCACCGCAAGAAGCAAATTGAAGTGGCCGAAGCTTGAGAAAGGTCAATTGGAGCTCTGCATCGAGTAATTCGATTGGCCACAGCCAATGCACAGGGAGAGTTACATGCACGGTCGGTCATGTTTTCGGCCCCTGGTTGGTGACGGGAAGCCAGGGGCATTGCAGGGCAATGATTTTAGGGCACTAGAGATGCCGGTGACACCCACTCGCGCCACTATCATTACGCGCTAAATGCCACAGCGGAGTCGATCTCGTAGCCAAACTCAACGGCATCAACTTTGCAAAGCCTCACAAACTCATCCATGTCCGAAACCAAGTCAATCTAGACGCCTCTTCCCTGGCACCGCTATCACCTACTCTAAATACTGCACAAAGCAAGAGAATGTTTTATTCTGGCTGCCCGCAGGCTCTACTGTTCTTGGGATAAGAAGCAGCTGACCACAAATCATAACTGCACCTGTAAACATCAAACGTGCAAAACTCGGTGTATGGAGAACATTCATGACCAGCTAATATCATTTGTTATTCACTTCCAACTAACACTATCAAGTTAATAGAGATCTAGCTCCCGACCTCGCCACCTGGTCTTGCCATTACGGTGTATGCAGCCTGCACCGATTCGTCTTGTATTGTAAACAGAGATTAAAAATGGCGTCTCCCCGACAGCATCAGATCATGCTTCCATGTCGTCTTTCTGAACACGTTTGGAGTGTCCTACTTGGCAAAGATTCCTCCCCTTGGTCCTGGCTACCGCGGCCGCCGGCTACCAATCCTCATCTGCCTGCTCATCCTCTGCCCGCTTTTCCTCCCGCTCCTCCTCTGCCCGCAGAAGCGCCCGCGCGTGCATCAGCGCCCAGCCCAGCCGGTTCTGTCCCCATTTGGCGCGTCTGTTCGGCGCATTCGTCGCACCGAAGCCGATGCCCCAGATGCGGTCGCGTGGGGCCGCTTCCACCAGCAGCCTGTCGCCCGTCGTCAGGAGCACCCGCTTGAACAAGGGGTTCTGCTGGAACTTGTGATAGCTGCCCTCTTCCACAACGGCGCTCTTGACGGCGTCCCAGCCTTCCTTGGTAAAGTTGCTCACACGCTTGCCCAGGGCCTTTTGCTTGGACGGGTCCGGGTTGTCTAGGATCCGGCGCTGGATGTCGCGGTCGCCGAAGCGGACGGCTTTGCAGAACATCATGAACTGTTCTGCGCAGCCAAACGAGAGGATCTCGGTGAGGCCCTCCACCGCCTTTGGGCCGTCCGCCAGTGTGATCTCGGCGATGCGCGTCTTGGACACGGAAAACGAGGAGAGCGTCCACTGGGAGAACTCGCGAAAAGGGCGGCCCCTGGCGTGGCCGTAGAAAAAGAGCGGATCATCCTGGTCGACAGGCGCGCCGGGGATGTCGTCGAAACGACGACGAGCCGCAGGCTTCTGCGCCGGCTTCTGTGCCGGCTTCTGTGCCGGACCTGCCTGCTGTCTTTTATTGCTCATGGCTGCGAATGTGGGAGCCAGTCGGACAGTCTTGGTCATTCAAAGTCTCCAGGAAGAGTGTCTGCTTTGATTTGCGTGCTTGGAAGGTTGACGACTCTAAAGATTAGAATGACAGACGCGCGAACGGCTCGTTATATGTACGGCGCAGTCCTATTGTCGAACAGGACATGGACGACGGATCACGTAGGGCTTTTGTGACCATGCTCGCAATCAGAACGAAAAAGGTCCATGGCGATCATCAAAAAGTTGTAGTTCGCCAAGTATCTCGCACCTTCCTCATGAACCTCGACTCACATGCACCAGTCGCAGGGGCAGGAACGACTGGTGGAGCGTGGGGGCGGCTGCGCCTAGTCGCTTTTCGCAAGGCGGACATACTCATTAACCCATAGCCCAAGTCAGCCTCGTCGAGCCAAACTGGCTGTCAAAGGCAACGAATCCCATATATACGTGCGATCGTGCACGCGAACCTTTGATTATGTGTGCATTTCGAGGCTTTTCCGTGCACTTAATTTTGCAGCCGTAAGTCTCTGCCATTCCTCGATGCGGGGCCGACTGCCTACGGGCAAACTAGGAAGGCGCGCAAGTATGACTAAATCAGCGGTGCTAAGGCCGAGGCTTGCACCTCGTACCACTCGCGACTGCCATCCGAAGACTTTACGCCGTTCGTGACTTCCTGGCAGACGGAAAAGAGGAACGGTGTCATACTCCGAGTCTCGGGAAGGTGCCGGCCTGCTTTTATTTCAAAATCGCCCACCCTAGCCTCAACCTCGACAACTCTCCACAAACACACACTCTCTCTCCACCCCACCATGTCGTCGATCCGCGTCCCCCTCGACCACGGCGACCTGTCGGCGCTCCTGCCGCCCTCGTGGACGGAGCAGGTCGCCGCATGGCTTGCTGAAGACACCCCGTCATTTGACTACGGCGGATTTGTGGTCGGCGATGTCGCGCGCACAGCCACCCTCTGGGCCAAGAGCCCCGGCATCGTTGCCGGCGTTCCCTTTGTCAATGAGATCTTCAAGCGCTGCGGCTGCACCATTGAGTGGAAGGTCGAGGAGGGTGCCCAGGTCGGGTCGCCCGACGACAACGGCGGCAAGACGGCCTGTGCGGTTGTGTCCGGTCCGGCGCGCGGCTTGCTGCTGGCCGAGCGCGTGGGGCTCAATGTGCTCGCGCGCTGCGCCGGGATCGCGACGCGCACACATGCTGTCCTGACGGCGCTGCGCAAAGCCGGCTATACGGGCCTGCTGGCGGGCACGCGCAAAACGACGCCCGGGTTCCGGCTGGTGGAGAAGTACGGCATGCTCGTGGGCGGCGCGGACATGCACCGCGTGGACCTTAGCGCCATGGTGATGCTCAAGGACAACCACGTGTGGTCGCGGGGCAGCATCACAGATGCGGTGGCGGCGGCCAAGAGCGTGGCTGGGTTTGCGCTCAAGATTGAGGTGGAGGTCCAGTCCGAGGAAGAGGCGGACGAGGCGCTGGCGGCAGGCGCAGATGTGGTGATGCTGGACAACTTTACAGGCGACGGTGTCAAGGTGGCGGCGGCCAGCCTTCGGCAGCGGTGGGCGGCCAAGGGCCACTCGGCCTTTTTGATTGAGGTGTCGGGCGGCCTGACGGCCGACAACATTGACGCCTACGTGTGCAATGGTAGGTGTCCCTTCCACCATCCTTGCCGTTCGTTTCCTCGGCTTCGTTTCCATTCTCACTGACACTTTACCACGTTACAGACGTCGACATCATTTCAACAAGCTACATCCACCAGGGTGTTCCACACGTCGATTTTTCGCTCAAGATCAACCACTAGAGGAGTCGTGCCATGGTCAACTACGACGGGACAAAACAACGTAAATAAAAAGACGTCAAAAGCAAAGATGTTTACAAGATTGTTGACAAATCTTTGAAACCGAGTCTGTGACTTGGTCTGCGACTGTGATTGTGCGAAGGTGGCGGATGTTGGCGGATGCTGTAGCCGTGTGTTTTGGCATCTATGGCCATTTGCTGCGGACCGCCCGTCGTGTTTCGGTAGGACCTGCGCAGAAACCTGGCAATCTGCGACGTAGACTGTGTCCTGTGCTCCGGCTGTTATGGATCCAATCAGGACACAACACAGAAATATCATAGCTGCCATTCGATGCTTGTTTTCTGGGGCTGATTCCCGCGACTTGATGCATCTTGACGAACTCACCATGATTGTTGCTGGCGTTCTTGTTGGCATTCTTGTCACACGTTGAAACAAGTTTTGTCCCGCCAAAGATGCGAGATTCAAGATGGAGAGTTGGAGCAGGGAGACTGACGAAATAGAAAAAAAAGCTGTACAATATTGTGAATGCAAAGCACAGGACGGACAAGGTGCACATGGAGCACAGGGTGACGACAACTGTTTGACTCTGAAACTATGTGCAAGGGCGAGACAAGCCGATCTCGAGAGACAAGAACTGGAGAAGAGCAGAACACAGGACGATCCAACTACCGCTCGATCTCCCTTGGCGGGCGATCCCACATCGACGTCCAGAAGCCCAGGCCCTAAGCCCAGGACCTAAGCCAAGGCCCCAAGCACCAAGTCCGAGTCGCTGTTGGTTAGATCCTTGGGGTTGACGTTCTCGGCCTCGAACGTCTCTGGTTGCTGACACCAACACAGGCACACACACACAAGCACAATGGGGTCAACGTCGCGTCAGTAGCGTCGGCCGACACGAGAGTTCCCAACCCCCCTTGTGCCTGTACATACCCTGACATATGTATACTCGGCTCAGCTTCCGGCCGATCTAGCCTGCCACAACAATGGTCGCTTGGGAAGAGATGCAGATACGAACCCTTTTCACGGACGGTGCACTGTTGTACTGCTTTGGCTCTCGTGACATACGCCAGACTATCCTCGTCCTGGATAATACGCAGTATTTTGGGGTTGCTCAAGGTAGGCTGTCTGCCTTGCTTCTTGTTGCCCCTTACTTCACGGCGGTTACTATTGTTGCTGCTTCGTAAGCACGTACGGCACCTGCCACACCAGAAACACACACAGATCGCGGCCGAGGGACCTTCCGGCCGCCTAGGTCGCCCATTTCGGCAAGTCACTGTTTTTGGCCCTCTGTGTGCAACGAAGATACTGAGACTTTTTGCACTGCTTCCACTGTTTCCACTGTTTCTACGACTCTTTCCATGACCCCCAACGCAATGTCGTCATAGTTTCATACCTGCTGGTTTCAGCTTTGCAAGGTCGGGGGACAGACAAGGGAGAGAGATTGGGAGGACATGGGTTGCAGATTTGGATAGATTTG